CCCTCGGGGCAGAAGCTGGTCACTGGTGCGGACTCAATATCGCAATCCACCGCCTGGCGACAATGGGGTCCTTCACCCCATGGAAATCCGGCGCACCACTGCCCTTGAAGTCCTTGAAGGACAGTGTGCGAAGATCTGACTGGCTAGAGGCCAAGTCGCTCCTGAATGCCCGTAGGCGATCCTCCATCAACTCCACGATCCCTTCCTTGATCGACCCAAAGATGATGGGGGTCGACTCAAGGATGCCCCTAGTGATCTCCGACGTGATGAACTCACGTAGCCTCTCCTCAATCGGCTCGGTGCCAGATCCCGAACCTGACCCTCTCCTGACCCCCATCTGTCGGTCTCGGTCGAAGTACCACCATTTGCAAAACATCATAATAATCATTAGTGGTACTGCTACTTTCTGAGGGATCTCAACTACTTACAGGTTCCTTGGTCTCGTCTTGGCCTTCCTCGGCTCGGGTACGGATCCTCTGCTTTCAGTAGTACGGGCCCATACTACCTTCCACATCTATCCGTACCTTCTCCGAGGAATTCCTCGACTCCACCAACTCCCTCTACTACTGCTACTCTCTGTTATTCTCATCCTAGGCTTGCCCTAGGGAAAACTCAAGTTCAACACAACTGGTCCTCAGCTGCTGTAGGTCTCCTCATAATGCCAGTTAGCCACCACCTAAACACCATCACATGTGATGAGGATTAGATAATCCTTCAAGTAAAAGGTCCGTCCCTACAACGGTTTGGACTCAAACAAGAGCTGCGCAATAGGGCCAGTTCCAACACTTTGGGATTATTCAACCCTGATTACATGTGGTGTGACGTGTTTACCTAGTGGCTCACTCCCATTACTCAGAATCCCACCAAGCACGAAGCAAGCAGCATTCGGATAAGGAAAAACAGACTCAAGCCAAACTGTTCTTAGAACAAGAAACGACACTTAACATAGGATGCTAAGCTCATACTATCAGGCATAACCTAAACAGGCTATCCTACTGCTTCTACTCAATTCTAGCATGCAATATTCAATAAGCTGTAGCAAATAAACAGGCACATAAGGCATCACTCCTAGATCCTTAGCCTATTCTAGCATGCAATATTCATAAAGCTGATAAACATAACATAAACTTGTATGGGTACTATGGGGAATACTTACTTGAGCTCGGCCGGTCGCGCACGTCACACACTTTACTCTTTCTTGTGACTCTTTTCCGGGTTTTAAAGAACAATTCTTTTGGAAAAATCTTTCAATCCCTCGATTTGAGTCCAAACACTCCCGAAGGCGTGTCCGAATCCCTCAAACCAGGGCTCTGATACAACTTGTAACGACCCAATTTTTACGTCCGAAAATTTCATTTTTAAGATATTACTTTAGAAAACATTAATAAATAAAAACATTGTTTGTTCACACCATAACACATGCAGCCATGTTTAAAAGTCAACCATACATCCCATCAAAATATCAGAGTACAATCCCAGTAAATCTCATAAATGCGGAAACCGAAGAGTGTGTGTATGACGTGCCGCTACCGCGCCGGCTCCTTCCCCTTCGATGCAGAGGTACCTGAAAACAAAACTGTAAACGTAAGCACAAAGCTTAGTGAGTTCCCCCAACGTACCGCATACCATACAAACACATAACATACGTACTGCCAGGCTATTCTGGGGTGCCTGACTACCCGGTACGGCCATTCTGGGTGCCGACCTACCCATACGGCCATTCTGGGGTGCCGTCTTACCCGTGTCAAGCCATTCTGGGGTGCTGACTACCCATCGGTCCTAACAACCGATCCTCGGGGACTATTTCACCCCTACTACTACGATCACATATAACATAACAAGCCAGCATGCATACATATCATCACATACTGTCAGACGTATCTGGGGTGTCTGACTACCCTTCGGTCCTAACAACCAAACTCTACTACTATCACATACAACATATCATGCTAGCATATAACATGTCAGGTAATAGCAACTTAGATGATATCACAAAGACAATCATCTATCATACATCTCCTACTGGTGGGTCGGCATTGTGGCCTTAGACCACTGCTACTGGAAGGTAACTCACCTCAAAGTAGCTGCTGAACTGATCGGGAACTAACTGACTGCTGCTGCTCGGGAGTCCTCCGGCTGCAATTCCCACAACATACTCAATCAAACACTGCTAACTGACCTTTAGGTAAAATGACCATTTTACCCCTGGTTAGCTCTAAGCCAAAGCTAGGAGTCAACTTTCAGTTGACCCGACTCGCCGAGTGGATCACCACTCGCCGAGTCCCTAGCAAACCAATGTCCTGGGTCCCTGGTTCTACTCGTCGAGTCGGGCTATGACTCGACGAGTTCACCTTCTAACTATTCAACACCTTCATCCTACTCGCCGAGTTGTATGAACAACTCGTCGAGTTCATCTTCATCCGATGAACACTTTATGCTAAGACTCGCCGAGTTGTATGAACAACTCGCCGAGTCTGTTCTTGATCTATGAAGATTGCCTTGGACTCGCCGAGTCAGGCATTGACTCGCCGAGTCCTAACATGGGTGAGTTCAGCTCCCAACTCACCGAGTCACCCCCTGTGACTCATGGCTCAACTCGACACATGAAAGGGGACCAAATCGGTGACTCGCGACCAGACTCGCCGAGTCACCTATGCGACTCGCCGAGTCGTCGCCATGCACTCCTTAAATATACCGATTTGCTCGATTCCAGTCCATGCCATTCATAGATCTGGACTTCTAGGACACGAATCACACGTAAAGTTTCCAACTTTACGTGTGGATATTCACCATATGGATTATAGGGCTCAAAATGTCTCAAAAGGGTAGATCTAGGGCTAACAAGCCTCATGGGGCCAAAAAGCTAACAGATCTGAGCTCCTGGAGCTCAATCTTGCATAGATCCAAAGGCCAAACGCCTTATTACGACATATAATGCACATACAAACTTGGGGAATTGACCAAGAAGGACCCAAATGAAGTTTTAAGCATAGAATCAAGGGGAAAACGGGTTATACCTCAAAGGAAATGTTGAAATGACACAAAGATGGCTGATCTCCTTCTCCTCTTCTTGATCTACTCCTCTTACTCCTCAAAACCTTCAAGAACACACCAAGAACACCTCAAACTCTCAAGGAAACAAGGGAAAACGATGTAGGGGGAGTTCTGGGGGTGAATGGGGACGAGTTGGGGCGGAATGAGAGTTTAAATAGGGTGCAAACCCTTGAAACTTAGGGTTTCATCCAGCAGCGGTGACTCGCCGAGTCCAGGATGTGGACTCGCCGAGTCGCCTACTTAAAACGTGTCCTGAGTCTCGTCCCTACTCGGCGAGTCGGACCCTATGACTCGCCGAGTCCAAGGCTAAATTAGGGCAATGCTCAAATAAAATTCACATACCGGAAACCAGGTGCTACAAATCTCCCCCACTTATACACTGATTTCCCTGAAATCCTTGACACGTCGAGTATCCTCCTAACTCGACGAGTTCCACGTGGCATGAGTTGTGGGGCCACCACGACTTAACTCGCCGAGTCTCAAGAATAACCCGGTGAGTCCAGCTTGACTCAGTCCACCTGTCCACTCAGACTTCCCCCTGACTCATTGAGTCAACCCTCCCCAACTCGGCAAGACCAATCGCTGTGTGGTCGGGCAACATTCATACTACTCGTCGAGTCTGTTCTTCGGACTCGGTGAGTCCGTGCCATGCAATGACTCAAACTTGCTCATAAGGTCAGATCCAGTCCATTAACCCATAAATCCAGTCCTTCCAAGCATATTTAGCACGTAAAGTCACTATCTTGATGCACATACAATCTCTATATGACCATAAATGATGTTTTTGTCTCAAATACTACAACCCAAGGTCATAAACTCCATTGCTATACATAAAGCTTGAAGAATGAGGCTCTCTGGACCTCTATGGATCCAGATCCAGAGCCTCAACACAAGAAGGGAACTATTTGGCATCAAATCATCCCATAAATATCCATAAGAAACCCTAGATCCCATTATTCATCACAAAACAGAAAGTAATCCGAAATCATACCTCTAGATTGATGATCTAAGCTTCAAATCCACAGAATAGCAACCTCCTTTGCTTCCTCTTGCTTAGAATCTTATCCTTCTTTGCTAAATGACACACACAAGGGTCAAGAATGCTTCCTTTCTCTCTCAAAACGTTCAAGCACACAAGGGTTTCTCTCTAAGGGTTGGGTGAGCACAAATGACGGCCATAAGGCCCTTTAAATAGGCCGCAAACCCTGGAAATTAGTGTTTCACCTCACAGCGTGGACTCGCCGAGTCCACTCTTGGACTCGTCGAGTCCGGACGCGAACCCGTGCTCAAATCCGCGATCCTACTCGGCGAGTCTGGGCTCTAACTCGCCGAGTCCACTCACAATTTCCATAAATAAATCCAAAATAAATACCTGAAAAATTCCGGGCTGTTACAACTATATTGATTGATGTATTATACATAAATAACAAAAAAATTTATTCTTCATATTACTATGGTTGTTGTACACCAAGTGTTCGATGAAATGATAATGTGAAAATTTTGTCAATATTATATGTTACTCAAACCTTTTCATTTAACATACCACTAATCAAAATTGTTTCTTATGTTTCATGTCGACCAAAGAATCATGGAGGTGAACAACCAACAATATGATGATATGCCTGGGTATGATCTGGAATATGAGCAAGATGATGGAACAGAAGTGTATGATTCAACATCGAAGATGGGGAAGGAAACAACATTGAGGACAATATCAATTTAGAATATGATGAAAATATCCAAAACCCAGTCCCTACAATATCAAATAGGAAGAGGGAATGACTTGACAACCAAAACTAAGGACTAAGTATGTCAATTATGGTGTCAAAAAAATGTGTAAAGTTTGATGAATTAGGTAAGTTTTTGGGTAAGCATAATGCATTTTTCATTAGCTATTTGGGAGATCTTGTCCGTGAAAAAGTGGGAATGAATGCTTTAGGCTGGAAGAAAGTAACCCCAGAAGTGAAGGAGAAACTATGGGAAGAGATTACAGTAAATATTATTTTCACTAGTATTAACTGCATCTCTATTATATTTACAAATCATGTATTACTAACATATTATTATTTTTCATTTTAGCGCTTTTTTGAAGTTGGTGAAACTGGAAAACAGTTTGTGATGAATAGGCTTGGTATCCTTCTATGGAACTTCAAAAGGAAATTTTATGCAGATTACATTAAGCCACATCTGGGCAATCCCAAAAAGCTCGCAAAATCCTCGTTCGTTATCGTGCACTAATTACTGAAAAATATGACTGGAACAAATTCGTGACATATTCGCAATCCGAAGATTTTAATGTTACAATTTTTTTTTTCCAAAACTTCTTGATTTATTCATCATAAACTTACCAAAAAGTGCTTGACAAAGCCTTTATTTATTTTTTGACAGGTTGTGTCACAAAGGACTATCAAAGCATGAAAGGTTTCAAAGTATGCTCATCGGATGGGACGAGGGGGGGATACGACTCTAAGGCAGAAGTTGGTAAGCTTGGTCTTTAGCTATATGATCCAATTATATTAACTTCATAGCATTGTAGTTAACAGGATTTTGCTTTATATTGTTTATAATTTATTTTCTTTTTTATTAAGATTGAAAAGAAATTGATTTCAAAGGAAGAAATGCCCCCAAGATCAATTATGTGGTGTAAAGGATGTGAAAGTAAAGGAGAATTTAAAGACGTAATGTTAAAGTCATGGTGGAAAAATTAGTAACTTTAATAAACTTTTTTGTTACCTTTACTTTAAGGATTGATATCAATTTTTTTAGGACAATAATTAATAACATTTTGTGTGCTAGATGGATCATGAAAATCAGATAAAAGATGGAAACCTAAATGTTGAACTGGGCATGGATGCCATCACCTTAGTTTTTGGCAAGGAAAAGGTGTATTATTTAAGGGTGTCGGCATGGGGGTCACATACAACAGATATTTCAATGTTCCTCGCAGTAACGGATCTTCTAAAGAGGAAATTAAAGATCGTAAAGTTGTACTACAAAATGGAAAACTTGAGCTTAGAAAAAAATGTTTAACTCAAGGCTTTGTCTACAAAGGTTAATGAACAATATCAAACACTAAACCTAGTTTTGGCTCATCTTACTGCAAAAGGAGCCGACTTTCCAAATCTATCGCAAACACTTGTAAGTCATCTTATAAATAACATCAATTGACAATGTTACATGTAAATTGCATTTATTATATATATTTTCCCTATTTCTTTATATTTGCTAGGGTATATCAAGTGACAAGATTGTTGAAAGTAGTGAAACTCCTGTTAGTCTCACAACCAAGGAACCATCAGAACCTTAACACACAGTATGTCATAATCTCACAAGATCAGCATTCTTATATATATTTTTTATACTAATTTCTACTTTTTCATTTGGGAATTTAACTTATTTAGGTAATTGCAAAACCCACCAAGAAAACAGTTCAAACCAAATCTGAAATTGCAACTCCCAATACATAATTGCCTTCCTTGAAATCTGCAACACCATACATACTAACTTTACAATTTTCATTACTTTTAATTTATCTTTTATATTAAACCATAATTTTACATATATGCCTTAAATCTTTATATTAGGCAAATACAAAACCCACCAGAAAAGTCGTTGAGTCTAAGACTTCCACTGTCAATCCTGATATACCAACAGTTTCACCAAAAAAAACCCTTCACCAGGTCATTGTTTTTTTACATACTGAATATACATTTCTGTATGTTTTTTTCCTGATTCGAATATTACATATCATTGTAGCCAATCAAGTGTAGTCTATCATATCTAGATAAAAGGAACATCGTTGCTCATGGTACCATTCACTTATCATCAGAAAGGCAATTAATTCATGGAGTTCCTCTACAATATGATTGTTATAAAGTTTCCATTGATGAATTGGTAAAAAAAGATTATTTTCTACCCCATGAAACTGCATAATTCAAAACAGTTGGGCGGGCATATAAATGTTTTGTTCCATGGCCAAAACACCTTATGAAAGCCGATTCAAAGGTTTGTTTATGTTAACTTAATTGGACATTACATTTTTTTTAATAAACTACTCTACTAAGTTTTTAATGAACTCATTTTTTTGTTTCAATGTTGTTGGTATAAGTACCAGATATGATATCACATCAAGACCATGAACTTCAAAACTCAAAGAAAAGGAAACCAACTTACATATCATCTGATACCCTTTTCAAGAAGACAAAGAGTAGTACCAAAAAATGAATGCCTAGTTATGTCTACGTTTTGGTTTATGATGTGTTTGCACTATTTACCATAATTTAAATTGAAACATACCAAAAATATAGTCCAAAAATTTTGTTTTAAATTATTAAAAAAAGACCCATAACTCATAAAACAACATAATAAAATCTCATGTCGTGTATCTCAAACAACATATCAAAAATATTGTATCAAAATCATGTATCAAATATCAGAGTCTAGAATATCCTAGGCTGAAGACTGTGGTATGTGTCATGCGATCATCCCGAGCCCTTCCCTTTGCTAGCTGAAGTACCTGAAACCAAAGCTAAAAACTCTAAGCAAGAAGCGTAGTGAGCTCCCCCAAACTACCACATACCATACAATAACACATAATAGCATATATTGAGCCTTTCCCACTACATCGAGCCCTGCCAGCATATAACATATAAACATATAAAGCTTCCTTGGGCTTGCCCCGACATCGGACCAAAGTCCAGAAGATACAACAAATACATGCAAGAATCACGAAGACATCAAGCATACAACATTCATCGTGCTTGCCCTAGCATCGGACCGAATTCTGGAACATATAAGCTGCATCGGGCTATCCTCGGAATTAGACCTAAGTCTAGTATACACTAACATACATGAATGGGCCAGCATTAGTGCCTTCGACCTGCTCCTACTGGAGGAAAACTCACCTCTCAAACTGGATGCTAATCTCGTGCGTGAGGAATCTCTGCTGGTTGCTCCCACGAATCCTCGAATAACTCTATACAACAATACTTAGTCAGAAAACCGAAAATCCATCTAAGGGTAAAATGACAATTTTACCCCTAGTCAAATTCAATGCTCTATTCAAAGTCCACATTCTAGGTTGACCAACTCGCCGAGTCAACCTTTTAACTCGCGGAGTTCTATAACTTAGAAATCCTGGAATCGCGACTCAACTTGCTCAGTCATTCCTCCGACTCATCGAGTCCTATCGAGCTGCTCATAGTTGCGACTTGGCAAATCAACTCGTCAAGTCCCTTTACAGACTCATCGAGTTCTACCATAAACTGAAACGCGACAACACGACCCGACTCATCGATTTCCCTCATGGACTTGACGAGTCCTTCGGTCTGTTAGGCCATCTTAACATATTAAGCCCTTTCTCTCTAGATCTAAATCCCATACTTCGATTCTTCATTGAAATGACCTTTCTAAGGGTAAAGTTTACAACTTTACCCGTTGCTAACCCTTTCTGAAGGGTTTAGCTAAAAAACTAATTCCTTTAGGACATAGATCTTGTCCAACAACCTTAGTATCCTAAACCAAAGCATGAAAACCTGGATCTAGAGCCTAGACTGTTGGATTAGGTGTCTAAGCCCATAATTATAATTGGGATGTACTTGAATCGATAGTAGCATGGTCCTTTTGGGTTGCCTTCACCGGTGCAATTTGATAGGATGGAATTTTAAGAATAAGGTTATTTATGATTTATTAATATATTATAAGTATAATATATTAATTGAGAAATCATATTATTTAATTAGTATTGATAATGAATTAATTTGGAATTAATTTTGTGATAATAAGAGACTAATTAAATATATGGGGATTAATTATGTAAATCAATGATTCTTATAGTGTGGGCTAATGATCTATGGTTATTTAGGATGGACTAAACCAATGAGATAGTCCATGGAGGTTTAATCCATGGAGCCTAGGTAATATGAAAGGTCATGGTGCATTAAGGTTTGCATGGATGTAACCCTAGCATTTGTCACACTATAAAAGTACACCACTAGAGCCAAAATCGGTTACCCCATTCATTCTAGGAGAGTGATATTGATTTTTTGTGCAAGTAACTTATTCTCTAAAGCCTCTTCTTGCATTTGGTGTTTATGACACATTAAAGGCATCACACTTGAGGTGCTCAAGCTTTCAAAGGTCAAGAACTACACCCTACATATAAGAAGTAATCATCTAAACTAGTTTTTATGTTATATAGCTTCAATTATATGCTATTTAGGGTGTATGCTTTGGAAAATTGAAAAATGCATGTATAATTAAAGAAACCATAGATCCAAAGCATCTAGGGTTGTATGTGTACCATAGGAGTGTTATAGTGCTCAAAACCCAACATAGATATCAGATAATCACATAAAGTCTCAAGCTTGCTTCCATGCACAACCTTTTTAAGCTCAAAAAGCCATTATAACATCCTTAGCACTTGCATGGGGACTCTAAGGGCATAAAGTTTGAACCTTTATGTCCTCATAACCCCTCTAGACACTAGATCTAGAAGAATACCCACTAGGATCGATCCTTCACCAAAAACTATCAAACTTGGACTAAAACCCACATAAAATGGGAATGAATAGATCTAAGAAAAGAATGATCAAGTTTGAGACTTTATTACCAAAAACTGCAACTAAAGGGATGAAGCATTTTGATCTACTTCTTTTCTCTTGACTCCTCTACATTCCTCTTCTTTCACAAGCTTCAAAAGTCACAAAGAACACTCAAAATGACTCGCACACTCAAAGAACACTCTAGGGTTTCGTGGATGAGGGTGTGGGACAAGGAGGCTGAAAATGAGGCCAAGGGGTCGGGATTAGGATGCTTAAATAAGGTGCAAAACCCAGAAATTAGGGTTTCACCCTGGCCAAGCTACTCGCCGAGTCAGGGACCTCAACTCGCCGAGTAGATAGATTAAACCCCGCGTATATTCTGCCCTCTACTCGACGAGTTAGGGCCACCAACTCGTCTAGTCCTTCTTTTAAAATAAATAAATAATTCAATTAAATGCATACCAGGGAACAGGGTGTTACAATTCTCCCCTACTTGTCTTAGACTTCGTCCTCGAAGTCTACTGCATCTGGAAACAACTCCGGGTAGTGCTCCGTCATCTCCTCCTCGGTCTCCCGTGTCCACTCTGAAACCTTACGGTGCTGCCACTGCACCTTCACTAGCTCAACCCCTTGTTCCTTAGCTCCTTCATCTTGTGATCCAGAATAGCCACCGGTCTCTCAATATAATTCAGGTTG